CCTCAGCCTCCCACATGCGGGGATTTTAGGCAAGTGCTAGCATGCCCAACTTTTTTGTTTTCTTCTAGTACTGGGGATTGAACCCAGGCCCTTTACATTTTAAAAGAGCCTGGAGCCAGCGAGATAGCTCAGGGGACTAAGTTCCTGCTTAGGCAAGCTCAGGAACCAGGGTTCCATCCCTCTTCCCACATGCTGCAGCCAGCCCCACCCCCGAGGCACGCTAAGTGAGCGAACCAGTCTGGGCCTGGAGGCTCACACCTGTAATCCCAGCGCTGGGGAGACTGAGAAAAGGAGGATCACTAGAGTCCGAGCTGCGTAGTGAGACCCTGTACCAAATATGTAAATGAAGAAGAAAATGTAAAAGAGTCTGATGTGTGGTGGTGCATGCTTGAAATCCCCGCACTAGCAAGGCTGGCTGAGGCAGGAGGATTCCCATGAGTTTGAGGACGGGTCTGGGCTACACAGTGAGCTCAAGGCCAACCTGAACTGCGTAACAAGACTGTCTCGAAATCCAAAGCAACAACAAGAGCTCGTCTTACTATTTATTGAGATGGGTCTTGTTCCGTGGCTCAGGCTGGCCTTGAACTTGAGTTCCTGCCGCGTCAGCCTCCCGAGTGTGGGATGACCGGTGAGCACCACCACATCCAGCCTGCCTTGTTAGATCCAGACCGTACACTGCACACTGTACCCCAGTGCCCCTTTGTCATGGCTGCCAGTGGCCCATTTGACGGATATTATAATACCTACAATGCTGGGTTAAAACCCAAGCAAATCCCTGGCTGCGGGTGCTCTGCCCTGAGGCCTGCCCTTGGACGACCCCTCCCCTGTGTCCCAGGCATCCCCCCTGATGAGAGCCCCCGCCGCGGAGGTCCTGCGGGGCCCTACCAGCAGTCGCAGCGACTAGCGCTCTACACCCAGGCCGCAGAGACGCTGCTGAAGACAGGGGCCGCCTACCGCTGCTTCTGCTCGCCGCAGCGGCTGGAGCTCCTGAAGAGGGAGGCTCTGAGGAGCCACCAGACGCCCCGGTAAGCGCGCAGCCCCTCCCTGAGGCCGCCGGGTTGGGGCGTTGTCTGCTGCTGCCTGCTCAGCCTGCTGCAGGTCGCGCTGGACGGTGGCAGCCGGCTTCTCCTGGGCGCCCGCTGCCTCGGGCGCGGTGGAGCTCACCTGGGACGTGGCCTGCCCGTCCCTGTCCTCAGCCCCGCTGCACTCTGCTGCGGCTGCCTGGAGGAGGCCCCTTGGCGCTCCGCCCCTCTGCCCTGGTGCTGCTGCTCTAGAGCCGGACACCGTGTGCCTGTAGACACGGCCGTGGCTGACGAGGTCACGTCAGATGAGATGTGTGTTGAGAAAAGCAGCCGTGCCCGGGAGTGGGCGCTGTCCTCATCTCAGGTGACGAGCGCGGCGAGAGTTTCCGCAGCACGTGAGCCAGCCGCACGTTCCAGCCGCGTGCGGGGGTGTAGCGCGGCTGCGGCTGCGGCTGCGTAAGCTCCTGCTTGGCGAGCGAGCGCAGGGTCTCGAGTTGGACCCCTAGTGCTATCAAAAAACCCCAGCATGGGAGCCTGATGAGCGCTCTGTTCCTTTTGCTTGTGGGCGTCAGGTACTGTGTCTTGGCAGCAGGAAGTAGCCCACGCTTTTTGCCTGCTGGTTTGTGTGTGTCGGGCACCTGGGCACAGTCCTCCAAGCAGGACTGAGAGGGGTCGGGAAAGTTTTCCTTCCTGCAGCCCCTTCTTACCTTCACTTGGAAAGCCCATCCCCGGAACCTCAGCCCTTGCCTGCACCCTAGGTGCAGTTCTCTTTGCATGTTGCCCTGGATGTGATCCTGTTCTGGCCTGAACTGGTCACTGGCGTCAGGTGAGGGGACTGCAGGGTGACTGTGAGTGTAGCAGTCATCGCCCCGCCCCTCCGTTCATGCTCTTGGTCATTGGCTTATTACCAGGGGAGGGGAAGAAGAGCCAGTTGGCGGCAGCCCTCAGCGGCTGCCCCCCCATTGTCTCTCTTAGTTTTCCACGCCGCAGCCTCTCCCCAGTGTAGACTGTGGAGGCAGCTTAGGGGTAAATGGTGCCCGCCCGGCTGGCCCCGCCCCGCTGGCCCCGCCCCGGGGCACACTGAGAGGGTGGGTGAGACTGGGCGTGGTGGTGCGCGCCTGTGATGCCAGCGCTCGGGAGGCTGAAACTGGAGGATCACCAGGAGTCGGATCTGTGTAGTGAGACCCTGGAGACCCTGTGCTAAAATAATTTTTAAAAAAGGGCTCGCAGAGCTGTCAGAGCCAAAGGTGGGACTCGCATCCGGCGGCAGCTCTGTTCGCCTTGCTTTCCCTCAGGTATGATAATCGGTGCCGGAACCTGAGCCAGAAGCAGGTGGCCCAGAGGCTGGCCGCAAACCCCAAGCCCGCCATCCGCTTCCGCCTGGAGGCGGCAGCCCCAGCATTCGAGGACCTGGTACACGGCTGGAGTCGGCACGAGGTGGTCAGTGTGGAGGGCGACCCCATTATCCTGAAGAGCGACGGCTTCCCCACATACCACCTGGCCTGCGTGGTGGACGACCACCTCATGGGCATCAGCCACGTGCTGCGCGGGTCTGAATGGCTTTCCTCCACCTCCAAGCATCTGCTGCTCTACCAGGCGCTGGGATGGCAGCCGCCTCGCTTTGCCCACCTGCCCCTGCTGCTCAACAGGGATGGCAGCAAGCTGTCCAAGAGGCAAGGGGACATTTTCCTGGAACACTTCGCTGCGGCTGGCTTTCTGCCCGACGCCTTGCTCGACATCGTCACGAACTGTGGCTCGGGCTTTGCAGGTACCCACCACCTGAGCAGTCATGGAGGCAGCAGCAGGGCTGTGGTGTGGGAGAGCTGACTGTCAGGCCAGGTTGCTCCCCCAGCCCCGAGACCTTAGGCAGGCTCACTGTTTCATTCCACAAATGTTAATCAAGCCAGATAGCAGGTGGAGTGCTGGGCTCCCAACAGTGACAGTTCTGGGCGCAGCCCCTGTCCCAGCCTCGGTGCGGTGGGAGGAAATGGCCACCTCTTCCGCTGGGATTCACCGAGCCTAAGGGGGGCGAGGCCCAGCCCAGTGCTGGCCACATGGAGCGCAGAGCGCAACACCTGTGGTTGTGCTGTGTGGTGCGCACTCCGCTAGCAGGATCGCTGATGTTACGGTGAATCTAGCTAACCCTGAGCCTGGCCCAGCACTCGGAGCCCAGACTTGAAGAGTTGAGCTTCCACAGGATGGTTGTTGGTGGCAGGAATTTCTGAGAGTGAGGCAGAGGTGGGCTGTTCTCATTTCATTAACCTTAAAATGTCCTTGAGGGAAAGATACTTGCTATCCCAGCTGTCTGTAAGGAAGTGTGCTGCTCCGAGAGGCTGAGGACCTTGCAGCGCCCCGCGGTGGGCAAGTAGAACTGCGGCCCTGTGCCTGGCCCGAAGCCGCTGGCAGCCCTGCCGTTCCCAGCTGTGGCGGCACCTTGGAGGGAGCTTGTGAAACACAGCTGTCCAGACCCTGCTCGGAGCCGATCCGATGAGCATCCCTGAGACGTAACCAGGGCCACAGGCACGCCGTCTTGTAGCTTGAGTCTTTAGGGCAATGAGAATTGATTTCTGGGGCCGGGGAGATGGCTCAGTGGAGTAAGCGCTTCCCTGGCAAGCACAAGGGCCTGAGTTCAATCCCCAGTTCTGCCAAAAACAAAACAAAACAAAAAATTGATTTCACTTGAGTGTTTTTAGACTTTCACGTGGTGACAAGACAGCCCTTTCTGGAAATGAAGGCTCATTTGGGCCCTTGATTGATAAGGAGCCACAAGTCAGATCCTTTGGGTCAGAGCAGAATGGGAGTCTAGAGCTTACTCATTCTCTCAGCCTTCCTGTGTTTCCAAGTGGCAAAAGAGCTGGGCATGGTGGCGCACACCTGCACTCCCAGCACTTGATGCTGAGGCAGGGCACTCAGGAGTTGGAGGACAGCCTGGGCTACGTAGCAAGTTTTAGAACAGCGTGAACTACATAGCAAGGTTTCATCTCAGGAAAGGCAGAAGTGGACAGAGCAAGGCGTAGTGGTGCACAGCTGGAACCCAGGCTTCTTGAGAGACTGAGGCCAGGGGCCCTAAGCTGGAGGTCAGCCGGGCCACCTGGCAGGTGGTCCCAAAATTAAAACCGAGAGGGGCGGGGGTGTGGCGCAGTGGTGGAGCAGGTTCACTCCCCAGGATCAGGTGGGGGCACGTGACTCGCCTGCCTTCGTCCCTGCATTCAGGAGGCTGCAGTGGGCGGGTCCTGAGTCCAGGACCTCGAGACAGCGCAGGCATCATAGCTGACCCCTAGGTGCCCATCTCAGAGAAGCAAAGGCAGGTGAAGAGGGAGGGAGGGAGCGAAGGAGCCGAACGGCTGGGCGGTCCTCACTTGCAGAGAACCAGATGGGCAGGACCCTGCCTGAGCTGATCACACAGTTCGACCTGACCCGGATCACCTGCCACTCAGCCCTGCTGGACCTGCAGAAGCTCCCCGAGTTCAACAGGTGAGGGCGTGCTGGGGCGCAGGCACACTGGGGCGAGGGAGCGCTGGGGCAGGGCCTCGGTGCGATGACAGGTCCTGCGGCAGGAGGGCTAGTGGGCTGTGCTGTGACCACAGCTGAGTCCCCCAGGCTCCCGCCCTCAGTTGCTTCTTGCACATGGGGCTAATAGTAGTTCCTCTCCTGAGTGAGTGTTAAGATGTAAAAGTTGGGCAAAGGTGTCTTGCCCGACCTCCCACCCACAGAAAGTGCCAGGTAAGTGGTAGGGACTGGTTTATCAGAACCAATACGTTCCTGCCAGCTCTTCAAGGCTTCTGTAGACATCAAAACTGAAGGGGGGCACTGTCGTTCAGAGTGAATTCCTGTGCACTCAGCCGACACAGTGAATGAGCGCCGGCCACAGAGCCAGTGTATGTTTCAGGTGCTGGGCATTTCAGGGAGTCTCCACGCGTGGTTACAGTTAGGTCACTTCTGCCCTGGCTCGAGCGCCTGAGTGGTGATGCTGCCCAGCAGGGGCACTCGGTGAGGAACGATTCGGTGTTCGCTCATTCTCTGTCTGTCTGTCTCTCTCTGTCTCTCTCTCTGTCTCTGTCTCCATCTCCGTCTCTGTCTCTGTCTGTCTGTCTCCGTCTCCATCTCTCTCTCTCTGTCTGTCTGTCTCTGTCTCCGTCTCCGTCTCTCTCTGTCTCTTTCTCATTTGTTTATTTGTAGCACCAGACATTGAACCATGAATCCAGGGCCTTTGCCCTGAGCTATCTATATCCCTGTCGCTCTTCAGATGTTCTATTTTGCGACAGGGATGGGCTCAGGAATGACAGGTCCCCCGCACTGCTTTGGAGACAGGCTCTTCATAGTGCAGAAAGCACATCGGCTGCAGCTCTTCCAAGGTGGTCGCTCCCTGTACCCGTGCTGCTCCCATCATACCCACCTGGGGTGTCCGTTTTAGGGTTTTGCCCCATTTCATATGATGAGCCCAAGACTTAGGAATTAACTTGCTCAAGTTGATGCAGTAAACCATGGCCACGCTTGCATGGGGCGTGCACGGGGTGAGGCGTGTGTAAAGCAGCTGCACTCGTGTTTCTCACTATAGAACAAGGGGCATGTGGGGCAGGGCAGTGAGGGTGGGGAGACGCTCCATCCATTTCAGTCCTCCCTGAAGCCCGCGGTGTCCTCCTCCCGCAGGAGCTGGGGAGGGCTGGGTCAGCGGCTGGTCCCTGCAGGCTTGGTCAGCCAGCTGTTATCTCCAGATGTTTCTGTGGTCAAACCCCTGCTGTGATGATAACAAATAGAAAAGTTAGTAACAGACAGTTGTGGCAGTGATGGTAGCACTGGTGTGAAAATAGTAAGTAACATTTGTCGCTTACTATGTCCCAGATCTAGATCTTGCATATATAATTTCAAGCATGGCCACGAAGGTCTACTGATTCTACTCCTTTGTACTTTCCCATCTATCTGGTAAGGAAGTTCTAAAAAAAAGTTTTAGTACTGCTTTCATGGCTTTTCTGTAATGCCCTTTTCATTTTTTTCTCCCTGGTACTGAAATTGAGCCCAGGGCCTCAGCACTGAGCTACATCCTGGCCCCTTTTTATTTTTCATTTTGGAAGTCTCACCAAGTTATGAGGTTGCCCAGTCTGGGCTTGAACGTATAGCCCTTCTTTCTCAACCTGGGCTCACTGGCGTGGTTTAAATTTTTTTTTCTTTTGTTCAGTTGTTTTGGCTTTTTTGAGACAGGGTCTCACTGTGTAGTTCAGGCTGACCTTGAACTCACTAGGGAGCTGAACAAGCTGGCCTCCAACTGCCCTACTGCCTCAGCCTCTGAGTACTGCTCTGGGATTATAGTGTGCCCTCACGCCCAGCTTAAAAATCGCGAGTCTGCACTCCAGAAAGCTTCCCGGAACTCTCACCCTTCTGCCCTGTGCCGTCCTGAAGTCTGTGTCCCAGATAGCTCCCCAGAACTCTTGCCCTGTGCCCTCCCCTGCCTTCGCAGCCCTCATTCAGACACCCTGCCCACCTGCAGCGCAGGCCTCACTGTCAGCCCCTGGCTTGATCTCTGCAGCCTCCCTGCGGGAGCCGCTTCTCCTGCTGTCGCAAGGGTGAGAGTCCCCAGCCACTGGCCAGGCTCCACGCTGGGGCCTGCACAAGCCCGAGCCCGTGAGGTGCGCCCACACCTTGTGCCAGCCAGGGACAGGAGGCCACACACGTCAGGGTGGCCTTGCTGCATGTGTGTCCTCTCCCCTGTCTCTGAACCCACCACGGTGAGAAGACAGCCAGAGACTGAGCCTGGGAAGGCCTCGTTGGGGGCTGCAATCTTACAGGCTTTGGTGCTTTCAAAGGAGCGAATCAGGTGTTGAAAGAATTCTGAGAAGTGCCGGTGTGTTGGTGCATGCTTGTGGTCCCAGCCACCTGTGGGCTGAGACGAGGCATGGTGAGCTGAAACACAGCCAGGCTGTATGATGAGACCCTGTATCAAAGAGCCAAAAGATGGGGCTGGGAAGGTGGCTCAGTGGAATAAGCACTTCCCTGGCGAGTTTAAGGGCCTGAGTTCAATCCCTGGTTCCGCAAAAAAAAAAATTGTGTGTGTGTGTGTGTGTGTGTGTATATGTGTGTGTACGTGTGTGTGTGTATACACATACATATATGGATTTGCGGGGTACAGTGGCACATGCCAGTAATCTTGCTACTCAGGAGGCTGGGGCAAGAGGTCGTGAGTTGGAGGCAGGCTGGGCGACCTGCAGGACCCTCCTCCCACTTTGCTTTCTTCGGTATGTGATCCAGGCCAGCCTGGAATTTGGTGTCTAGTCCAGGTTGCCCTCAAGATTGCAATAATCCTGCCTCAGCCTCCTGATTCCTATGATTGCAAGCACATGCTGCAATACCCAGCTGAGACCCTGTCTCAGAAAAAAAAAAAAAAGCCAGGTATGGTAGCACATGCCGAAGCAGGAGGGTCACCATGAGTACGGGACTAACCTGGGCTGTTGAGTGAGTTCAGGGTCATCCTGAACTACATGATATGACTCTATCTCGGACAACTGACAGAATTTACACTGATAAGAAAATCCAAACCTAGGGCCGGCCAGATAGCTCAGCGGGCTACAGTACCTGCTTAGGCAGAATGCAGCAGCTGGCTTCGATTCCTGGGCCTGCCGTGCTTGCCCTGCCCCCGGGGTACACTAAGATGACTATTGAGACTGGGTGTGGTGATGCACACCTGTAAGCCCAGCATTTGGGAGGCTGGAAACAGGAGACTCGCTGTGAATCGGAGCTACGTAGTAAGACCCTGTAGACCCTTTCCTAAGTAGAAAAAAGAAAATGTGCACCTATAAACCATGAGCCTCAAGTTCAGGCTTTTCAGATGCTCTCCTTTTGTGCCAAACCCCACAGTTTAGGCAGGGCCAGGAAACTGACGCCTCCAGGTGCTGCTTTATAAACTTTAGGTCCCGGTAGAGGCCAGGCAGATACACAGGAGAGGAAGCAAGGCAGGTAAGAGGCCAGATGGCAGGGGCTGGGTGAACTGGGCTCCACCCTGTGCAGCCTGTTGCGGCTACGGAGCACGAGGGCCCTTTGGAGGCAGGTCTTGTCTCCTTGGGAAAGTAGAACTCCTTCTTGTGGTGTCTTCCTAACTTACAGTACCAGCTACTGGGCTGGGCCAGGTATCTCTCAGCAGTGAGAGTGCCCGACATGCACAAGGCCTATTAAAATGGAATAAAAGAACCAGGCATGGTAGAACGTGCCTGTACTCCCAGCTACTCGGACAATGGAGGCAGGAGGATGGCAAGTCCAAGCCGAGACTGTGTCTTACAAAGGAGTGGGCTGGGTGTGTAGCTCAGTGGTAGGGAAGCCCTGGATCGAATCACAGTACCATAGAAAAGGGAAAGCCAGAGACTACTTTTATTTATTTATTTAAAGTTTATTTATTTATTTAGTGGGGGGGGCAGCTCAGCCCACCAGGGGGCGGGGCTGGCTGGCATGTGGTGCTGGGGGATCTAACCGTGGTCCCTGTGCTTTGCTAAGCTTGTTCTAAGTAGGTGCTTTAGACCACTGAGCCATCTCACCAGCCCTGAGAGACTACTTTTAAGACCCTGAAAACAATGCATGTCTCCAGGTTACGGGACTCTCGGGCTGTTTATAGTAGTGTTCAAATCTCTGTACATTTATAAATGCAAAGCAACTCTTGCTGTGCCGTGGGGGCAGAGATGACGTACGTGATTTGTCCCTTCCCCTGGGGAGGGTGTGAGTGGCCTGGAGGAACCACAGCAGTCACGCCTGGACTGTGCCACAGACTGCACCTCCTTCGGCTGGTGGGCAGCGAGACCCAGAGGCACCAGCTGGTGGAGAAGCTTCAGGCCCTGGTGGAGGAGGCGTTCGGTGCCCGGCTGCACAACAGGGATGTCCTTGATCCAGCTTACGTGGAGAGGATCATCTTGCTGCGGCAGGTACGGGGCCTGGGGCCCTTGGGAAGTCGCGCCATTCCTTCTCCTTTCTAGTGTTTGCGGAGCCCTGACCACCTCCTTCCCCAGGGTCACATCTGCCGCCTGCAGGACTTGGTCTCTCCGGCTTACTCGTACCTGTGGACTCGCCCGGCCGTGGGCCGAGCACAGCTGAGCGCCATCTCAGAGAAGGTGGACGAGGTCACCAAGCGCGTGCTGGGGTAAGCGCCTCTGAGCCCTTCCTCTCGCTCTGTCCCGTGAGCCCTTCCTCTGCTCCTCAGCTATTGGGCTTCCAGCACAGCCATGGCTGTGGACAAAGTGCTCCCTTGCTTTCATAGGTACAGAAGACAAAGCAGAGGACCCTGCTGTCCTTGGCACAGGTAGTGGTTACAGTGGCTGGCCCCCGTCTGCGGTACATCCCGACGGCCACCACTCACCACGTCGTTTCCTCTTGCCTGACTTCACTTTGGCCAAGTTAAATCCCTCTGCGTTCCAACGCCTAATCTAGCTGTAAGGCAGCAATCCTCCTAGTCCTCACTGTGATAACAGCAGAGTTCCGATAGCCCAGGCTGGCTTGGGCAGCTGGGGAGTGATTTCGTAATGCCGTGCCCAGGTGAAGCTAGTTCAGCTCAAGGCCCACACTGGTTACCAAGGTCCAGGTCCTCTCTGTGCCTTTCCTACCTCTCCCCTCTCCTGTGCTGCCTGCTGTCTTTGCAAGGGCTCTGCATTCGGCAGGTATAGGGTGGGGGTCTCTACCCGACAGGAGCAGAAGCGCATCTGTCCCGCGTAGCCATCTGCAGGAGGCAGGGTGGGAGAGAACAGCTTCCCCCTTATCTTAATGGGTCCTGCACCTCTGCATGTCCCTCCTGTCCATGTGGTCCACAGCGAGTCATGGACAGGCCTTAATTCAGCTAGAGGACAGGGCAGGAGACTTCTTCTCAAGACCTTACTTAGGCCAGGCATGGTTGCACATGCCTGTAATCCCAACACTTGGGAGGCTGAGTCAGGAGGATCGTTGCAAGTTTGCGACCAGCGAGGGCTACAAAGTGAGTTCGAGATCAGCCTGACTGCATAGCGAGACGCTGTCTCAAAAAGACCAAAAGAGAGAAGCAACACTTAGCACTTTCCTGTGTGAAATGCCTGCAAGTTCAAGGAGATGCGTGTGGCACTCTGACCTTACAGTTTTTATGTGTATTTAGTACAGATAGGTATGCAGGGCCTACAGGGTGTCACTACGCAGATAGGACTCCTAGGGATTCTCCTGCTTCCAGCCTCCCAAGTGCTGGGATTACAGGTGTGCACCACCACGCCCAGTCTCATTCGCCATCTCAGCGCTGGGGATTGAACCCCGGCCGCTGCACTTTGCCTAAGCAGACGCTTTAGTCCGCTGAGCTATGTGGCCGGCTCCTACAATTTTTAGTTTTAAGTATAATATTTTTATTTTTATTTTATTATTTTTTTCACTTTTATTTTTTGATAGATTGCAAATTGAAAATAAATTATTTACACACACAAATGAATATAACATTAAAAACTGTCCAAAATAAAAATGAAAGAATTTAAAGATCAGTCATAATAGTTCATTGTGTCAAAACTAGGAAACTTATATTCATATAATTAGAATTCTCAAAGTAGGAGTAGGCAATAAATATTTAAAGATTTAAAATTTCTGAATTTAGTTCAGCTTATAATACCACATTTCCAAGAAAAATGAACCTTTTGCAAAGACATTTAGTTTAGGGGCCGGGGAGATGGCTCAGTGGAATAAGCGCTTCTGTGACAAGCGCAAGGGCCTGAGTTCAATCCCTGGTTCTGCCCCCCCAAAAATTAAATCATACCGAGATACACAAAAATGAAGTTGTCCAAAACTTCTTGTAAAGAAAAAAATCATTAAAGCATATACATAAAAATATTAGCTATGGAAGAACAAAATTAAATAGCATCTTATTCCACATTAGAAAGAAAAAAAAAAGGACCAAGTGTGTAAGAAACTAGTCTAATTAAAGGACTGAAAGAAAACATCTGTCCTCTTTGAATTTTATACTTGGCAAACATACCTTTGAAAACTAAAAGTAAGATTTTCTAGTTATACAAACTGGAAATATTTTAATACCTCCAGAAGTAGCATATAGGAAATAACAAAGAGCATAATTCAAAAGGCAAGAGAAGTTGCAGTATGCTCCTGGATGAACAATAAAGAGCTCTCAATATGATAGTTATGCAGGACTATATAAAATATATTAGATGAATGCTTATTTATTTTATTTTATTTTTTTTTTTGTTTTGGCGGAACCGGGGATTGAACTCAGGCCCTTGCGCTTGACAGGAAAGCGCTTATTCCACTGAGCCATCTCCCTGGCCCCTTGAATGCTTATTTAAAGGTCATTGCAGATTTCTATGAAACAGTACCAATCTTATGTTGGGTTATACACGTATTTTTTTTTCCCATATATGTGTGTGTGTGTGTGTGTGTGTAAAAGACAGGGAATAAGTAATATAAAGTCAACAGAAAATGGAAATATGCTTTTTAAAGTTTCTAATACTAGAAGATATCATACAATGTGTTTTAAGTAAATTGTAAGGCAAAGATAGAGTATAAATCTTAGAACAAAATTAAGATTAAGCAATATTCAGAAAATTAAATACGAATGAATTAAAAATTAAATGTTTCAAAACAATTGAACTAAGAAAAAGTTTTCATGATAGCAAAGAAGTACTAAGAGTAAAACATAAGGTAAATATTGGAATGGCAAGTAAATGACCAGCACTTCTAACAGTTTGAGGATAGGATATC